CCGCCCCTGCCCCTGTCGCCGTCTGCAGGGCCGCGGCGGGCTGGGCACGCTCTTCATCTGGGCGTCCGGCAACGGCGGCCTGCACTACGACGACTGCAACTGTGACGGCTACACCAACAGCATCCACACGCTGTCCGTGGGCAGCACCACGCGGCAGCGCCACGTGCCCTGGTACAGCGAGGCCTGCGCCTCTACCCTCACCACCACCTACAGCAGCGGCATCGCCACCGACCCCCAAATCGTGAGCAGCGGCCGCCCGGCCCAGCCGTGTTCCCCGCCCTCCGTCCTGTGCCCCGCATCTCTCCTTCTCCCACGGGTCACCCCCGGAGCACCGGAACACAGGCACGGCGCCCAGGCTCGGCACCTGCTGTCACCCCTCCACACCTATTGGCCCTCATTCGCGGGGTGCGGCCTGGGCAGCGCCCAGGCTCCGGGGCCCTCACGACCCCATGCGGGGCCTTCTCCAGTCCTTGCTGCTCTGCGAACGAGGGCTGGGTTTGCCCGTGCCCAGGTCCCGAGTCCCCATCTCTGCCCCCAGGTCACCACAGACCTGCACCACCAGTGCACGGACAAGCACACGGGCACCTCGGCCTCAGCCCCGCTGGCCGCAGGCATGATCGCCTTGGCTCTGGAAGCCAAGTAGGTGATGGTGGGGGCCTCTCGCCTGCCGCCCCGGCCGCCAGGCGCGGCCCCCGCTGAGCCCCTCCCCCACCCCCAGCCCGTTCTTGACGTGGAGGGACATGCAGCACCTGGTGGTCCGTGCGTCCAGGCAGGCGCAGCTGCAGGCAGAGGACTGGAGGACCAACGGCGTGGGGCGCCAAGGTGCGGCGGGGCCCGGCGGGGGGCGGGGCACCACGCCCACTGGCTGAGTGACAGCCCCCTCCACACAGTGAGCCACCACTACGGCTACGGGCTCCTGGATGCAGGATTGCTGGTGGACCTGGCTCGCACGTGGCTGCCCACTCAGCCCCAGAAGAAATGCGCTGTTCGGGTCCTACACACGCCCACGTGAGCACCATCCTCGGCCCCCGCCACTGTGCACACCTGTCCTCCCCTCACCTGTCACCTCCCAGCCCTCCCCTGACACCTGTCACCTGGCCAGCCCTCCCCTGACACCTATCACCTCCCAGCCCTCCCCGACACCTGTCACCTTCCCAGCCCTCCCCTGACGCCTGTCACCTGGCCAGCCCTCCCGTGATAACTGTCACCTCCCAGCCCTCCCCAACACCTGTCACCTCCCAGCCCTCCCCGACACCTGTCACCTCTCCAGCCCTCCCTGACGCCTGTCACCTGGCCAGCCTTCCCCTGACACCTGTCACCTCCCCAGCCCTCCCCTGACACCTGTCACCTGGCCAGCCCTCCCGACACCTGTTACCTCCCAGCCCTCCCTGACGTCTGTCACCTGGCCAGCCTTCCCCGACACCTGTCACCTCCCAGCCCTCTCTTGAAACTTGTCACCTCTGCAGCCCTCCTTTGACATCTGTCACTTCCCCAGCCCTCCCTGACATCTGTTACCTCCCCAGCCCTCCCCCACACCTGTCGTTAACACCCAGGTGGTGGACACGTGGGAGGCAAACCCCAAGGCCTCAGTTTACCCATCTGTAAAGTCCGAGGGTGGGCCCCAGAATCTGAGCCAAGACCCTGCCTGCCGGCTGCCCGCCCCAGCAGGTGGGCTGGAGGGGCCCTGACCCCCCTGCCCCCCCCAGCCCCATCCTGCCGTCAATGCGCGTGAGGAAGAAAGTGTCGGCCTGCGCCGGCCGCGCCAACTACATCCGCTCCCTAGAGCATGTGCAGGTCCAGCTGTCGCTGTCCTATAGCCGCCGCGGGGACCTGGAGATCTCGCTCACCAGCCCCATGGGCACCCGCTCCACGCTGGTGGCCATCAGGTGCGGGGGAGGGGCCCCATGCCCACGTCAGCCGAGCCACCCCATGCTCGCCGTGACTCTGAAGCCTTTCACCCCGGTCTGTCCCAGACCCTTGGACATCAGTGGCCAAGGCTACAACAACTGGATCTTCATGTCCACCCACTTCTGGGACGAGGACCCGCGGGGCCTATGGATCCTAGGCCTGGAAAACAAAGGCTACTATTTCAACACGGGTGAGAGGCGAGCACAGGCCGGGGGCCCGACAGCCTGGCCACCTGCCGGCAGCCTCCCTGGAGAGACGGAGCAGGCATGTCTGGTGCCCAGCTGGTGTCCAGTCACCAGCCTGCTGTGGGCGCTGAGTGGCCAGGGCACCATCCGAATCCGGGGCCCCAGGGTGGGGTAGGGGGGCTTGGGAGCGGGGCCCAGAATGGCAGGATCAGGCCACCAACAGCCTCTCCCCCTCCTCCCCGTGCCCACCGCCACCCCTGCCCAGGGACGCTGTTCCGCTACACGCTGCTGCTCTACGGGACAGCCGAGGACATGACGGCGCGGCCCACAGGCCCCCAGGTGACCAGCAGCGCGTGCGTGCAGCGGGACACAGAGGGGCTGTGCCAGGGTGAGTGCCCGGCGCGGCATGGCCCGCTTGCTGGCAGTGTGCGCGTGCGGGCAGGGGCGGGCGGGGGCGGCGGGCCTGGGCCTCACCTTCGTGTCCATGTCCTCCGTGCAGAATGTAACGGCCCCGCCTACGTCATGGGCCACCTCTGCCTCTCCCGCTGCCCGCCCCGGTACTTTAATCGCACC